TTCAGTTAGTCTATATAACTTTAAGTACTCGGACTCCTTTTACCATCGGCACAGAAAACATACTACTATCTGATTGGACCGTTAATACCCTCTAACATTGAACCAAAGTATGCCCAACTTTATGTATACGACGTAAACACAGCTGTTACTTACAGAATGGGCCACAATCCGTGAAATGCGAACAACTGCAGATGCTTGATCTAAGTGAATCTATAACTAGCTGTGTGCCCGTTCTACGCACGGGGATCTTATTGTAGTCAGTTGAAACCTTATTATTAAGAACAGAAGTTGGGTTTGCATATTTTCAGATATGCTGGCAGAACTATAAATAAACCTTCGCAAATACAGTATCTGACAGTTTCAAGCCAAAACAAATGCTTTTAAATTAAATTTAGTCTGGGTCGTGTTGGTCCATATGTTAAATCCAATGATTAAACTAAAAAATGCTTTATAGATCTATGAGGCATAGCCCTAATGTAGGCCTATAATTGAAAGTTACCTTCCACAATGATTAAAAGTATTTAAGGTACTACCTCAACCTCACAATTTAACACTTTATTCGGGTTGACATTTTTATTATAAAGGTGCTTTTGTCCTTTCCGTGAAACACTGAGAAATAAGAAGATTAATGCGTTACCAACAGACATACACACAAAAATACAGAACTTAATTAGGGAATTTGCTACGTTTTAAGCATAACAAAGTACTTATACAATTAGTATCTGAAATCTTTGTTAATGTCATCAAATTTCATCATAACAATTTATATTTGCTTGGACCGATGATGACCCGAAATGACGGCTTACTATAATATGAAATGAAGTACTATATACGATTTAGATTGGTAATTTATAATACAAATTACCAAAATAGGCCACGAACTATTGATACATAAACAACGTAAAGCGTTTAAACAGTTCATGATGGTTTGCTGAATGAATGTTTTACTAAAATGCGTTAAGTTTTATCGTTTTCTTAGCATAAACTAACATTTTGGAATCAAGAAAGAAAAAGCAAAAATTGTACAGTTAAGACATCAATTAAATTGAATACGCCTGTAATAATAAATAAGGTGCAACACCAACGATAACTAATTTGTAAAGTACAGTGATGTGTTGGAACTTAAAAATGATTCTTGCTGCTACCAACAGTACCAACGGTTCTAAGGAATAGAACCGGTACCAAAAACCAACGTTCACAGTTGAAAACTATAGTAGGCCTACAGCAGACCAATTATATGACTTAATCGAGTCCCGAGGTTATTGATCTCTTAGTTTTGGATTGTCTCGTAAAACGTTTTAAAACGGCAATCAAAGTTATTTCCCATTAATTGCTTTATTTGTAAACAACTTTTAATGTAATTTATCGGTGTCAGTTTGAAAAAAAAAAACAACCTCATACAAACAACTTTTTGTTATTTAATAGATTACGTATCCTCTAAACAATGATTGGTAAAGGCTATCTATTAACATTAGAAGGAAATGTGACAAAAATCACACAACGTTGGGTTTTTGGACGTTTGTAATTTTATTTCTTAAGTAGGCCGTGTATTCTAGGGAAAAGTACCGGATCGTCGTGGAAAAGGTTGTTATGAATAATTGGGTAGGCGTACGTACGTACCCAAGAGATGGGCTATGGGCCTATTGGCTGTATGGTCCAGCGATTGCATCACACGGTGAGTAGGTACTACCCAGACAGCACACTTTCTCCTCAGGACATCCCACGGATATTGCGACAGGATATGCAAGATATCCCATAGTGGTCCTATGGTCAACTTGGGATATCACAGGATATCCACAGGAATGCGTAATGTCCCCGCCCGGGGATGTCCTACGGATAAGCTCACACGCATATCCGTGGGACATCCGAGGTCATCCCAGGGTAGTCCTCAGGACATTCTCAGGACATATGGGACTACTATGGGATGTCCCTGGGATAAAGTGTGGTCTGGGCCTGAACATAAAAAACACAAAATAATATAGATTTAGTATGAAAAGCTTAATTATAAGTTTAGTAAATTGATTAAATAGTTAATAAACACAAATTTTGAAGAAAAAAACGAGAAAAAAGTTTTTGGCCCAGACGGGTTTCGAACCTGGTACCTTCGCCTTGTGAGCCTCTTACCTTACCTCCTGAGCTGTCTGCGCTTGTTGATTATGGGTGTTTTCAAGTTGTTAAAGAGTAGCCGACAGTTGCAATGGTCGCAATACTTAAAATATTTTTGATACTACAGTATAGGCTATATATGATTCTGTCAATCTGTTTAGGCCTCAAGTAGTTGAATTGTTTTTCTGGTAGTTGGAGAGGATACTGGTATTTGAATATAGATTATTTAATCACCATTAAATTAGCACTGTAATAATTGATTGTTATATGATTAAAATTAGTTTTTTGTTGTTTTATTAATTTAAAGTTAGAATTAAATTCACATTTCACACAACTATGATAGAACTCTATAGTTTTCCTGAACTCAGTGGTAGTAATATGTCAGTAAAGTAAAGTCAACCCTTGCTAGCCATAGTATTAACAAGACATATTTTCAATCTGGGAAACCTTAAACTTTTAAAATAAATTATAAAACCTCAACATCTTAATGCGTGGGAATCTTATTTTTAGAAAAAAAAACAGACCAAAATTATTTGTTAAATAATGAAGACGGCCCAATTATAAATTCGGAATTACTGAAAATAATTACATCAAGAACAACACTGTAACATATCCAAAATTCAAAAGATTAATTTTTCTAATATTATTTTTTATTTTTCCAATATCCTTTAAATCATCTGTTTTAACTTTGTTTAAAATTAATTTATTAAGTAAATATTTACTTTCTGTACTAGTGTAAACACAGCCTGAAGATGGAAACCAAGTTTCTGAAAGCACTAGTGAAAAAAACAAATTATTATATATTGGCCTTGTTGAACATTTAAATTTAGATATACTGTACATTTCATCAGTGGTAGTATTTTTTTCTTCAGTTTGTTACCGGGACATTACGGGACATTACAGGATATCCAGTGGATTTTTTACATGTCCCGGGATGTCATGGGACATTCTGGGATATCCTATGGCATTCGTACATATCCCGGGACTTTACAGGATATCCTGAGGTTAACTTACAAATCCCGGGACATTACGGTATATTGTAGGATATCCTGTGGATTTCGTACTCGTCCCGGGATTTTGCGGGATATCCTGAGGATAGCGCACATATCCCGAGACATTCTCAGGACATATGGGACTACTATGGGATGTCCCTGGGATAAAGTGTGCTGTCTGGGTATTGACTATATATGTATAGTCAATGGTAGGAACAGAAAATAACACATTAGAAAAGCGAGCTTAGCATCATCCGTAAACCTCTGTTACAATCACCCACTGCAGTTGTGATTTTTTACTTTACACTTTACACAACCACCATTGAAGCGCCGTCAATGAGTGGAAACCATGTTTCTAAGCTATTGGCGACGATCATTATTAAATTGAAGTTTCCCAGCCGTATACAACACTGATTCAAGGTCTTCTTTCTGGTTATCAAAACTCAAGAACAATTTATACACAAAGAATCTCTGGTTCCTGAACTGGATGATGCATAGTTATTTAATTTCATTTACGGTTACACTATTACACTATATTATTGCATTTTCGATTAATTAAATCCGTTATGTAAGAAAAACGTTTTTAATATCACTTCTCACTTGGTTGGGATTTAGATTCAAAACGTGATTGAAAAAGGTTGCGGTATTTGTAAACAACATTTGTAAACATATCAGTGACAGCTAGGAAAAATAATCTTGATCCGAACAGCTGTTCGTTATTTCATAGATGATTATGCAATAAAAATTGGACGAAAACTTGACATAAATCGCACAAAACTGCATTTTTGAACGTTTGTAATATTATTTACAAAGTAGTGAGGCCATATTTTAATGGCTAAAGACAATCTCGCCAATCCAGTGAATACATTAAAATGACTTGGATCTTGATAGGTACTCTCGTTTTCCAGGAGAAGATTGCGTAAAATGCCATCTTGAGTGTTACAGACAAAGGGAAAGACAGACAGACAGACAGACAGACAGACAGAAGACTCGTTTCTGCTTATTTAATGTATAAGACGTAAAATTAACCTAAAAATATATAATTCTGAGCAATGTACAGACAAAACTCTAATTTTATTTATATAGATAGGCAAGCAGAAATCTATATATAAAGCCAAAAGTACCCATGAACTTTTGAGAAAACTACAAGTCACACCCCCATAAACCATAAACTTAAAATGTTCGTCATGACGAGAAAAACCTTGCGCAAAACTATCCATTATTTCATAAATCACCCTTTAAGGTCGTAATTTCTTTCCAAAGGGAACTTTCCTTATACATAATGTTAAAAAAAACCTCAGCTGTCTTTATTTGTATGTTATTCTTTCAATGTATTTCCTTATTAAAATCAGGTGTAATTATTTGTTTGTATTTCTGTATTCTGTTTTGTTTATTCAAGTTTAACTTAACCAATCAATAATTTTATTAATACTTATGAATTAAAACGGGGTGGGTGAAGCCCGTGGGTAACAGCTAGTATGCTTTAAAACCTTTTTTCTCAGCTTATGTGCATCGCAGGGAAAATCTACGCATACTGTTAGAAAGATAGTTTCCTGTGGATGTGCAGAATGCCTTTATAAATTAAAATACAAAAATAAGCACAAAATTATAAGTGCTTCGCTCAATAATATAAATGGGGTATTTGCATTTTTGTGACTATAAAATGTTAGAGAAATTGTGACATAGTTTATAATTTTTCGTGTAAGTATGGCGGTATGGCATAGCTTATAACTGATCCTATGCCACATTTTCAAGATTATAAGCTATGGTACAAATTATCAATTATAAGCTATGCTATTATAAGGTATGAGATCAATGAGATCCCACCCACAGCTGATATGACATGTCACGACCCCTTAGCGAAGAGAAGAGGAACGAGGAACTCAAATGTCAAATCAGCCAGCAGCCAGCAGAAAAAAACCCGTAAACAAAACAAAAATCAAGGCAAAGGCACATCTTCTTAGGCTACAATCAACAAAATCACAAACAAAACAACTCACTACTCAGACAGAACAGAACTCACCTACTCACCACAACACAACTCGAACTCTATACAACTTTCCTCTTACTTAAACCGTCTAAGCTTTAGCTGCCGCACTCCCACTGCCCGCAGTAAAATGTTTAGTAGTGTTTACCAAACCCACCTCTTTACATTGAGAAATTCGGGAACTAAATTGTCCAGTATGAGTAATAAATACAGTACTGCTCCTATTTCAAGGCTGAAAGGAAAAGTTGCAATTGTCACTGCATCTACTGATGGGTTAGTATACAAGGCTTAAATTAATAGCTTAACCACTTAACGATTTAACTGAAACTGGTTATTTAAGTTAGTTTACGATTTAAACATGTAGTAAGAAAAACTAGTCCTATTTAACCTAGTTAGCCTAGTTTAGTTTTTAGTTAACAATTTAAATGACAATCCTCAAAATCTAATTTGCCAAATTTGAAATTTGGATGCTACCCAAGTAGGCCTAGCCAATTATTTATTCGATACCGTGTTTAAAACTGTAATATTTTATCCAGGCCTAAGTCCAGCTCCTCATGAGTGAAGAGTGGGACATCGTCCATCATCTCAAACTCACGCAGTGGGCGCAGAATATGATCCGGAAAAAGGGATTTGACAACCCTCTCCATAGCGGCCCCCTCCATGACGGAAGGTGGAGAGCGAGTTGTGAGTTTTTGGGTTACTAGTTTGTAACCCAGGCCCCACGGGTCGGAATCGACATCATCCCTTAGTGTTTTCCAGCAATTGTGTTTGCTCCGGTTGATGGCCCGGCGGAGAGACTTCCTTGCCACCTTATAGCTCTCCAGCTTACGGCGTCTATCCAAGGGTGCCCTGGCCCTAGTAGCGAGTCGTCTAGCTCTCAAAGCAGCTCGGCGCAAATCCGCGATCTCTGCAGTCCACCAGTATACGGGTCTCCTATCGCAACGGAGTCTCTTGCGGGGAATTGACTCATCACAAGCCGAGGCAATCAGCCCCATCATCGATGTAACTATAGCCTCTGCATGAGCCATGCCAGGTGTGGCAGGCACCGCTGGCACTCCCCGCAGGATGGCCTCGGTGAATTTAGCCACGTCCAGGTTTTTTGGTGTTCCACCGAACGGGCACTTCCCGAGATGCAGCAACTTGTCTCGGGAGGCGATCTAAGACATCGAAAATAATGTATTGATAGTCGCTGGCCGTATAATCCTCCAAGACTCTCCAGGCTGTGATCCTTGGCAGAAGAGACTCAGATGCGAGGGTTATGTCTGGGATCGTTCCCCTCATCCCGGGTCGCCGGAACGTTGGCGTGTTGCCCTCGTTGATTACAACGAGTCCGGCCCTGGCAGCAAAGTCCAGGATGTACTTCCCCCGGGAATTAGTGAGGGTCAGTCCCCACTCAACGGCCCTAGCATTGAAATCACCAGCCTCGACTACATGCCCAGTGGTGTCGTGCATGCTCTCTTCCAAGTGGTCTATCTTCTCGCGGAAGTCATGGATAGCCTCGTTAGGGGTAAGGTAGACACTGTAGTAGGTGACATCCTTGCACCGAACCCAAACAAATCTACGGCCCTTTCCATGACCCTGCACTTGCACTTGAGCTGTATTAGGCACCCAGAAAGCAGCAGTACCAAGACTATCGGGGAACCAAGAGGGTGGGACCCTATTCCGGTACTGGTACTACTCGCTGACCAAGAGCGCGTCGACACCGTGTTCGAGGGCAAGCTGACTGAGAAGCGCGTCAGCTGTCCTGGATCGCCCAAGATTACATTGGAGTATTCTTATTTTCGTGGGTGGGCTTTTGCTTGCTGGAGCGCAGCTTTAAAAGCGCTGCACTGCCCAGACCCAGCTATATGTTTGGTGTTTTTGTCCACGAGCCCATTTTCCTTACAAAGAAAGCAAGATTCGACTTGGCAGTCCCTACGAGCGTGACCCACCCCTCCGCACCGGACGCAGTGCTTGCCTCGGTCGGGCCCCTTGCAATTTCGGGAGGAATGACCGAAACCGAGGCACCTAAAACACCTGGTTATTTCCACCCTCCGTCTGAGCCTGCAGTTGACCCAACCGACCCTCAAATGCTGGAGTGCCAACACCTTACTAGCGTGTGCGTCTGCCATTTCGGCGACCGCCATCCGCTGCTGGTTTCTATTTGCTTTTGTGAGAACAGCCGATGTTCCGGCAAGCTCGGGGACTGCTTCCTTTAACCCTCCCAGTGTTACTTGACGAAAATTCGACAAGCAGCACACTTTGTGTAGGTAGTGTTGCTTGTAGATTTTTCGACACGCAGACATCGTTTACGGCGAAGGCTCTATGACTGACTGAATCGGATTGAACTGGATCGAGTTAGGTATCGTTCTTTCCGTTATATTCTAAGCTTTCTCCAGAGGTCTGTCTCAGCGCTGTATGTTCTCCGAGCCGATCGTAATTGTAGCAGACAGCTGACGTGCGTGTATTTGTAAACAGCTAGGTTACCCTTGGACCGATGACTGATGTGTTTTATTACGTTTATCATTGTTTTAGTGTTAAAAATCAAAAGTAGTGATATACGTGGTGCATTATAAGAAGATTTAAGTGGTTTTGAAGTGCTGGTTGATGATCCTGAAGAAGTAGGTAGTGATATTGATGTAAATTATCAGCCAGATTCCTAGCTATGGTTAGGCTATGCATTCTTAGCTAAACGCTATGTACTGAAATCTGTTTTTTGCCCATAACTTATTTATTTGCAAATCTACTTCCTTATATTATTATATATTTGTAATCCTCATAAAATTTAGAACAAAGTGGCTATTTTCAAATATTTATAGGCCTATAATTTATACAATTTCATTGAGCGCAAACTTATTTTTTTTTCAATTTTTCCAAAATAATCTTTTTTTTTACCTAAAAAATTTTTTTGAAACAAATAAAATCCTTATGTTTTATGTATGATATTGAAGCCCACGATTTTCCAAACAAAATGGTGTATAGAACATTAGAATTAACATTGTTTTAAGCTTCTCAGATCCGTTTTAATAAAACCTTGCAAATGCGCCAAAAATAGGTGGACATTAAGGCCTAAACTATGGACACTTGGAGGGTTAAGGCCTCAACCACCTCACTCTCTGTCGACACACCATCTATGTCCCGAACCTCAACTGACGTTTTAGGCTCGAGTGCACGGACGGTGCCCTGGCCTTCCACGGCTGCCTTTAGTTCAGCAGCAAAAGCGGATTTGTCCTTTGACTTAGCCAGTTCAAGGAGGACGTCCCCGCCCCGGGTTTGCCTAATCGACCGCACAACCGTATCGAACTGCTCCGGCTTAGCTTTAGCCTTTATTATACCCAAGACTTCAGCGAATGATCTCCCCCCTGAGGGCTTAACCAAGATTGCCTCCGTCCTGGGCTTTTTTGGCCGCGACCTTTTAAGAGCGGGGGCCAAACCGGGCCTAATTTGGGCAACGTTTGTTAGTTGCTCCTTTACCGCCACATTTTTCTTGGAGGTGACCTCCGCCCGCCTCTGCTGCCTCTTCTCCTTTCGGGTAAGACGCTTTTCCCATGCAGCCCCAGATGGTGTCCCAACGACTGATCCCTTACGGGAGCTTCCCCTAAGAGGGGTCAGGGGTTGCTGAGGTTGCAGACGCTTTGTTGGGAAAGCAGCTACATCAGGGGAAGACCTGGGCCCGGCAGACAAAAGGTCTGTCTGGGTAGCCTTAGCCTTAATTTTAGCTCTTGTGGTCTGCACAGCCTCTTCCTTTTTTGGAGGGCTTTCCGTAGTGGATGGCCTTCTGCGTTTCTTGGAAGGCAACGCCCTGTCGTCGGGCATAGACACTACCTTCTCCGCAGTCTTCTCCATGGCCGCCTTGCTTACCAACCGGCAGGCAAAAACGAATCCAAGGTCATCTTCTAGCTTGGCCATGCCATTTTTGACCACTTGGTTAACAGCTTTCTGGGTCCGAAAGGTGTCCAGCATAGCTTTAATGGTCTCCTCCATGTCTCGAAGCCGGGTTTCGATGCTACTCTCTGCGTCAAGGTATTTCTGACGCAGAAGCACCATCCCTGAGCTCTCCGACTGCAACGTTGTTGTAAGGTGTTCCTCCAACAGCCCTTCACCAGACTTGAATGCTGGCACCGATGGAGGGGAGACAGTCGCTCCCTTTACCAGCGAAGGTGCCAACGATATATTTTCTACCGTCAGAGGGGGTGACCTTGAAACACACCCTCCCCTCTTAAACGCCTTCTCCTCTGACTGCTTGCCAAGCAAGCCCTCCATGCTACCTGAGGTTGAAATAGCCATAAAAATGTTTGCCAGCGCATCGTACGGCAAGGGACGGCTGGAATATCCAGGAACGGGTATACCCTCGGCGACGTAGCCCCTACCCCAGTTCCCTGGGGCCCGGTCCCGTTTGCCTAGTACCGAGAATCCTGACGTACCAGGGGTAGCCCGTGGCAGTGCAGAGCCCGACCTCTGCACCCATGCCGCACTACCTGACTAGGGCCCGAAGGGGCTGGTTCCTGACGACACACCAGAGAGGTCCCATCGGCAGTGCGAGGCACAAAACAGCCCTTTTGCACAGAAAGGCACTCCCAAGGCTCAATAGCGCACGCCGGTCGAAAAAGAAGAAAGGAAAACACCCAAACCGGGGTTGAAAAGAAGAAGTGTAAAAAGGAAAGATGAATGATTTCGAGGTACAAGCCAAAGGTAAGAAGCAAACTTGGCCTCAGAGAAAGTTGGGAGCATAAAGAGAAGGATCTCTCACCCCCTGTTAGTCGCCTTTTACGACAAGCTGAGGGAGGCTGCAGTCCTATTCTAACCCGGTACCGCACGGGGAAACCCATCAATACTTAGCCTAGATACAAGAGTTATTGATTGGATTTTATGTTGGGCCTAACAAATTAATTAAGAATTCCCAGAAAGGTTAGACCTAATTGTGATTTATTATTGTCATTACTATTTAATCAATTAGGAGTTAACCTAGTTGGATTAAGCTAGGTTAACTTAGGTCAGTTTTCTTTTTATTTTTGTTTTCCTAGCCTACATAAAATATGTAAACTTGACTTAAAAGTTAGCCTAAGTTATGTTACATGAAAACATTAAAGGCCTTTGATATGATAAAAGTGGATTAAGTTAACTTAGTCATAGATTGATAAAATTCAAAATAAACTGATAAGCTTGTTTTGGATTGATATTACGATATAGTTAAACTTATAAACAATTGTTTGCTTGGATTTTTTACACCGCCTTCAGGCTGAAGTTACATCTTGTACTGACTCCTTCTAACCCTGGTCGACATTCTACTCTTCTACAAACTTCAATAAATCAGTGGCTAAAATAATTTAACCTTTTACTTACCGTATACACCTTGTTCATTGAAATCTCTTTATCGTAGCCCTACTTAAGTTAATGTGTTTGTTTTACATTCAGTTCAAACTTTCAGTCCTAATAACTTAATAAATGCCTTGAAAAATCTAAATTTCATCCCAAGAAAGTTGACACCTAAAACTACTTACATTAGCCTACACTTGTTGATTACAGAATTGGTTTCGCTATTGCTAAACGCTTGGGAGCTGAAGGAGCTAGTGTTGTTGTTAGCAGTCGTAAAGAAAAGAATGTAAACGAGGCTACTAAGAAACTTAAAGATTCAGGCTATTCAGTTGCTGGAACTGTATGTCATGTGGCAAAAAATGAAGATAGAAAATTGTTGTTTCAAACTGTAAGTACTGTACCCACTGCATATTATTCTAATAATTTGTATGAGGTACATACCTTCCAGGATAAAGCCTTAATAATCAATAAGCTGCCCCCAATTGTTGTCCTTGGGGTACCAGTTGTACTCAGGTCAAAATACAGCTTGTTCAAAAGAGGGGTGCGGGGCATGTGGGCATGTGGAAATTTAATTGTGTAGACAATAGACAGTATACTTTATTTGCATGTTCAATGTAAAGAGTACAGTGTCATATGGTATTTACAGGTGGTTAGTTGATTATAAGAACAGATCATATTTTTAAGTCATGTTTGGATGGATTCCTTTTCAGTGTAGAAGGGTCTTTTCAGCAGCCAGTTAAAGTTTTTCTTGAAGGTACCGGTAGTTGAATTCTTAAGTTGTTTAGCTCCTTTATAGGATGTTTTATTTCAGCAAGTGATAGGTAGCTTATGGAAGGGTGAAGTCTGATGCATGTCTGGTGTTGTGATGGTCGAAGCCCTTTTTAGCGAATTTCCCATATAGGGAATAAACTATTACCATAGTACTCAATGGTAAGACCTGGACCCGGGACCGATTTTCTTTTTAGTTTTGAGGTCCCTAGAGGCCAAAAACACAACCGTTAAAATTCATATATATATGTGTGTGTGTGTCCGTTAGCACGATAACTCGAGCAAAAATGATCCTATTTTGATGAAATTTGGTATAAACGTGTACACCTACATTTATTTGAAAGAGTTTGTGAACCAGCATGATCGGACCATGTGAATGGGGGTTTTTGGGGGTTTTATGTGGTAAAAATTGGTTTTTCTCATTTTTGACCCTAAAAACATAAAATTTGCAATTTCTTTCCAAACGATTTTGTAGAGCTTAAAAAACAAATAATTTAGTATATTGAAGCGTTATTATGTGCCTAATGGTTACAGAGAAAATTTAAAAAAATGTAAATTTAAAATGTTCACGTTATTTTATGGAGAATAAGTAAACAGTTGTTGTTTGCTTGTTTATGACCATATTTTGATCACATTATTTCATACTTAACTATTAACATTTTACAAAAAAAAAAAAAAAAAAAAATTATCCTCCCTGTTGCAGCAAACCTAGTGTACTTGTTAAAGGTCTCAAATTGAAGATATGCATGCACAGATTTTCCATAAAGCATTGGCATATATTTATCTATAATCCCACTCGGCATATACATCAACGACATTTGCTCCCCATGTATTTCTTATGGGAGTTAATTTCGTTTTTCTTTCCGAGTTTCTTTGGCTCTTCTACCTGACTGATTTTCATGATTGAGCTCTCAAATTTGAATTCTTACTTTAATAAATTAAAGTAAGCTAAACAATGTCGTAAACTGAATAAAACATCTTGAAAGTAATCTTCTATACAACAAACAGCTCTCTGAATGTAAAATTAAACTAAAAGAGGAGATAAGTCATCTTGAATCTCTTCTAATTTAAGAAAGATGTATTTCACCAGTTATATAATTCTATAATCCTATACATTTTGGTCTAAGAACCTTCAGTGAAATACCGGCTTTCATTTAAGCTATTGGCTTTGACTATCAATACAACTTCAGTATCCAATAGTCAATGCTATTAGTTTTTCAAATCGAACGAGTTTCAAGCAAACACAAGGTGAACAACCAACATAAAAATAATTTTTCATAAAGTATTTCTATGATTACAAATCAATAACATCAGTAGTATTGTTCAGGTTTTTTTTATATGTTTTAGATTCAAATTAACACGTTCGCCGCGGTCATTGCCACAGACTGAGGTATACATTTACATCTTACACATAGACCGGCTGTCACTTGGTTAACAGTACACACAGACCACGGGTGAAAACCTGTAAAACAGTGATCATTTATATTGTAATGTGCTACAATCGTGTTTGTAAATAATGTATTCTTGTTTTTTGTATTTTTTATAACCTTTTGTAATGTCGCATATTTGCGACGCCCGGTCTACAGCAAAGACAATAGTGAAAATTATCATAGTTTTCTTGAAATAGACCAAACGTCGCATATATGCAACAGTTTATTTGTGTTTTGAGGTAAAAGAAAGTAAAAAAGACAGATTATTCAAGAACAGTTTATAACTGTACAAATATAAAAGCTACAGAGAATAATGCAGCATAAATACTGCATACATACATATGGTGATGCAGAAAAGTAAAGACCAGTTTTTCCAATTATCATATGACGTCACCAGTCATCATATCCACAGACCAAGCGACGCAGTTGTGCGTCAGACATCTCTGTAGACCACTGCAGGGAATTTAGTGCCTGCAAATAGACCGTTACAAAGATATAAGCATTGTAATAACATTAGAACCCCAACGCAAATATGCGACGCAGTCTATTTTAATGTGACTAGCCGACGCAAATATGCGACGCAGTCTATTTTAATGTGACTAGCCGACGCATATATGCGACGGCAGTCTATGGGTGGTAACCGGCCGTCGCATATGTGCGTCGCTGGTGCATGTGAATGAAAAATTTCGTACTATTGCAGTAGGGAACGTGTTAATCAGTAAATTATAGGCTTTAATTTGAGCTATTGATCGTTTGAATCAGTTAAGCTCAAGATACTGTATTACTCAATCAAAAATAATGAATTTTATTATTTCTCGGATATTATGTTTATTTTAACGCTGCGGAGCAGCATGGGTCCTCTAGTGTTTATTTGATCTTAGTCGTCAAACGAGTAAAAATTCATTTCCATTTGCATAGACCTAATATGCAAAATGTTCTAGCCGTTGACTGTGGTTCCTGCAAATCTGTCTCTCCGGTAATGATGTGGTGGCTGCTTCTGAGGCCAGGCGGCGAAGCAAATTGGTAGTGGCCAAGACGGTGGAGATGTTTCGTATCGCCAGGTTGGCAATCCAGCAGAAAATTTGGCATGTGCGAGATGTGATGCGCAGCTGTATTTATAGGACTGCTCGTTTTTCCAACAGGCCTATTGCAGTGTTAGTCAGTTTTGAACATGTATTTACTTACTAAGTCCATCTGAAGTCTGAAGTAATAAAGATAACCAACAAACTATAAAATGTCACTGTGTATCACTTAATATCTTCGATAACAGCTATAAAACACCTAAAAATCTAATTAATCATCAGCGATAATTCTTCCTATCATCACAGGTAGAACAGTTCTACCAAGCCCTAAAGCCTGGGTTTTCTCATGTAAGAAGTGTACAAGTCTTATCAATTTTGGGAGCCAACCAGTTAATATTTTGTTGTGCTATTGTTATTTTGCATCAACTCCTTTGTATATGACTGTGTTTCAGTTGGTGCCATCCAGGAAGGAAAGTTGATTTTATGTTTTGAGGTCTGTTTGTTTCTTCAGACCTAAAAAATGATTTTAAGTCTTGTTGAAATCATACACTGTTACCTGGTTATATTCTTTACATTGTGGTAGCGTATGATATAAGATCCTATTTGTGAGCTCCATGTGCTGGTTCACAAATGTATCAAGTGATTTATCTGGTAGCAGTTTTTAGCAGTACAGCAAGGTCTTTTTTGTACCTTAAATATCAGACTATAAACGGGAAGGGTGTGTCGGTGTCACAGATAAGGGATTCTCGTTGTGCACATTGAGTGGGCTTAGGGCGAGGGATAGAATTTAAGCTGCTCTGGAGTTAAGTACTGTGTACTACATTTTGTTTTTATATTCTTTATGTCAATTTCTTTGCTTTTCTTCACTTGGAGTGATACACTAAAATTATCCCTATTTATTACCCTTAGTTGTTTCCTTTTTCTGTTGTTTTTATTGGTTTACGGGGTTTTCCAAGACAGTGTGGGTAGTGTATCACTAGGGGAGATTGTATTCTAGGCATTCTCTTGCTTTACATAATTTTACCTTCAATTGCTGCCAAAGTGTGTTTTGTTTGTTCTTGGCGGGTCTTCAGCTTAGCTAGCTCAAGTAGCAGATGTAATGAGCCATTTTGTGTAGGGAGCTCAGAGCTGAGGGTTTGTTTGAGTGTTAAAAGTGTTTTTGCTAGGTATTTTCTGAAGTTTTATTTATTGTTTGGTTCTTGACTTCTGTGAATAACATATCCTTACAAACCCTTTCTTTGAAAAGTGGTCCAAAAAAGTTCATGGTAGTTATAGTTGGTACATGTGAAATGGCAAGCATGACAGCTAACCAGTAGGACATTAGTCGTTTGTTTGCTCGGAAGACTGCGGGAAATACAGCTTGAGAACCTTGTTTGTGAACACAAATTTTAATTTACGAAATAAATTATTTTCTTTGATAGGAGTACAAAGTTTGGTCCAGCATGTACAATTAGCGCCAAATCTCAGATTTTGAATCACTGCCTGGTAAAAAAAAAAAAAATCATAATAATTTATATATTGATTATTATTATTATTTTTATTGTTTGAACATACAATTATTTTATATTAACGTTGTAAAACATGAATCCTTAAAAGGCTTAACTATTTTGTTTAATTGTTTTTTAGGCAATTGACAACTTTGGAGGAATTGATATACTGGTCTCTAATGCAGCAGTAAATCCTACAGTTGGTCCAGTTTTAGACGTAAGAAATTTATGTTTTTTCTTTCATGAAAACTAAAAAAAAAACAGATAAATCACAATAACTGTCAAGTTTGACCATTTCAAAATTAACTTCTTGCTTTTACATCATAGCTTGTTGAATCGCGTATAATTGCACTCGATTCTTCCGTCAGCATGCACTTGACACAACTTCGTAGGACGCGCGTTTCGGCTGTTGCCATTTTCAACTAATCACTGACTGATTGTTTGTGAAGGGATTCTTTCTTATATAGGGAAGGCAAAAATTCCAGAAGGTTCTAGGTTCTACTGTTTTCAATTTCGGATATTCTAGGTAAGGGATTAGGGGCTGGTTGCGTTTCACAAGGTTGTTTTCAACAATGTACGGGGGGCGTAGTCTTTACCTGGAACTGCAACAACCTTGTGAAACGCAACCAGCCCCTACACCGTTACCTAGAATTGCCGAAATTGAAAACAGTAGAACCTTCAGGAGTTTTTGCCTTCCCTATATAAGAAAGAATCCTTTCACAAACAGTCAGTGAGTAGTTGAAAATAGCGACAGCCGAAACGCACGCCCTACGAAGTTGTGTCAAGTGCGTGCAGACGGAAGAATCGAGTGCGATTATACGCAATATATCTGCGCCGCACGGAATTCACCAGAGACCGTCTCTTCAAATAACTTGTTAATGTGAACCAGAACCAATTAGAAACTGACATAGCCTGGTTATCAAATTGTGAGACTAATTGGCAAATTTTTATTTCCCCGTTAATTTTAAATTAACTATATACTTGGGGTAGGTACATTTATACCACAGACTTGGGTTGTAATTAGTGATGTGGGCCGGGTAAATACCCAGTGGGTAGGTAAATATAAATTGGGTATTTACCTGGGTATTTACCCCAGGCCCGGGTAAATACCCAAAAACTGGGTATTTATAATTTGTATTAAAGTTAGAGAAGATTGAGATGTTTTTTTGCAATTATTACCTTGAAAAGATAGCAAAATGATTATAAAATGTGTTAAACAAAATTTTATATGGTCACTACTAGCATTTTACTTCTTGGTATGATCACCATAAATACCCAGGTCTGAGCATAAAGCATAATCGGCATAAATACTCTGGTCGCATGGTTGCACTGGTCCTGACTACTTATGATTTTTTAATTTCTATGATAGATAGATGAATTTATTTTATTAAAAGTGAAGAAAAATAATTTGTAAAATAATAATTATTATTTAGAAAGACAGGAAAATTTAACCTAGTAGTGGCCTATGTGTAAAAAACTTAAGAAAATAATTAAAATTCAAACTGTAGGATGGCAGGATTTAATAATATTTTTGTTCTAGATCTTTTGTTGGTATCAAAATAAAAATAAAACTAATTTCATAAACTTGTGATACAACAAATTTGAATCTATAGCACAATAAATCTTTCAAAAATATATCAAAGTTAGACAAAAAAACAGGAGATACATTTTTTAGTAGGTTTATCCAAATATATCATTGTTCCCAACTAAGCGGTAACACAGAAAAGTTTAATGTAGACTCCCTCTTATCCGGACACCTTTTAACCGGACAATTTTTATCAGCCCATTGGTTTAACCTGACTAGATTGGCAAGAAGTGAGCGGTACTGAAACGACTGTTCTCGTGGGAAAGATTTGAGACCAGTGATCACGTATCTAAATACAATGCTCTCCTAAATTTAAGTCGAATATGACAGTACCGGTACACGGTTTCCGTTTTAACAAGTTTTTGGGGACGTCAGTTTAACCAGAAAAACCGTTATCTGGACTAGCCTCGGTCCCGAGGAGTCCGGATAAGAGGGAGTCTACTGTACTTTCAGTATTCTGCCATTCTGCCTACATCAATCAGGCCTTGGGTCTGTCTAGCCATTTTACAAAATACAAATTTTTTTAACTATCATAATTTAATAACAGTAGAATTAGGTTTAGGTTCACTATTTCTCTGATGAGGTGTTGTCTTGATTTCATAAAAAAAAGTGCTAAATCTTTAAATAAAAGGTACTAGCAAAGCTTCAAGTTACTGTAAAAGGTGTTATAGACTATCCTAATTTATCATGTAATGATAACAATAACATATTTAGGGGTGGATAAAAATGAATTTCAATCGATTTCATAAATACCCAAAATACCCGGGTATTTATGGATTTTGGGTATTTACCCGGGTAAATACCCAGGGTATTTACCCTGAGTTTTAAATACCTGGGTATTTTACATCACTAGGTGTAATACTTCAACCAATTTTCAAAAAATATACTACTAAGACAAAAAGAAGGTACTGGTATTGAAATAAAATTTGTCTGGTAAATTGTCATACAAAAACCGGTACATTTTTTTAGTAAAACGGCAAATAGAGTAGATATTTAAAAGGATACCTAATTCAGATTATTAATATGTATATATCTGTTTTCTCATTCAATGTTTTTTTGTTACAGTGTCCAGAAGAGGCGTGGGACAAAATTTTTGATGTAAATGTCAAATCAGCTTTTATGTTGTCCAAAGAAGTCCTTCCTCACTTGAAGAAACGCAATGGTGGCTGTATTGTATACATATCTTCTATCGCTGGGTTTCATCCTCTAAGTGTAAGTGTTGTCTACTTTATGCTGTTTTCACAAAATTCTTTTGTAGAACACTGATAATGTTTTAATGTTCTAAATCTAAAAAAATAAAAATAATATAGTTGACTTAGTTAAAAGTGGGGTAACAGTGAAGGTGTTTGAAGTTGTGTGTTTGTCTATAAAACTTACCTTTGTGCTTCAAGAAACAACTAGCGAACCTGGCACACAGAATCTTGCCCAATCTAGACATAGGAGATGAAGGATTTGTATTCATCTTTTTTATTTGGAGTTTTCGGATTACTTTATTTTGTTTTTAAAAGTGAAGATGGTAAGAGTTCTAATAGAGTTTGCAGTTTTTTTCTTTTTTTTTTGTTAAAGTAATTAATTACCGTAATTAATTAATCGACGATAACCTAAATGATAAATTAGCCCCTAGCTCCCACCACCACCCCTGGCTTAAGCCTGGGACTTTAATGTGCCAGACCAATTTCCCGTGAAAATCTTCTTTCTTCTCACGCTTTGGCCACTTTCAATCCTCGTCCAGCAAACCCCTAACAGCACGACTCCCCCCCTACTACCCTGAGGGATAGGGATCATTGGGATTCACTCTAACCTTTCCTCTCCCTTCATGGGGAAGTTTTAGTTCCTTTTCTTTCTTTGTTTATTGTTTGTTTCTTTTTTCAATTTGAAAGCCTGTATGTATCCCTGGTTCTTCCTATTTTTCCTAGCTACTTTCCGAAACATCTCAATTGTTTCCTTGTCTCTCATCAAGTTTTATTTTCTCATCTCTGGACCTTTCCTATCCAAGATTTCTTCCTGTTCTCTCCTATTTTCCTATTGTTCATTTTAGAATTCCGATGTTATTCTTATGGAGAATATTGTAAAATGTTGTAGTTGGCTTGTTTTTTATATATTTTGATCAAACTTGGCAGATTTATTTATTTTATACTAAGCTATTAATGTTTTAATGAAAAACACACTTTATTAGTTTCCCTGTAGCAGCAACCCTAGGTACTCGTTAAATATAAATGTTAATGTAATACATTAATTGAAAATCAATCCTGGCAAATGGAAATTCGCTTAGTCGGCAGGTTTGCTGCAGTGGGGGGGTATTTAATTATTGTGTTCCAAAGTAAGTAACTGAAACATAAAAAAACGTACGTACTGTATATCCAATCTTATTAATAATGATATTTGTCCCCAATTACATCTGTTCACTTCTAATTATCAACTATCAATTATCAATCATTGAGATGGGGACGCCACTATGTTTTTACGTAATGAAATCAACCATTACTGCTGTTTCCTATTCCTCCACACTCCTCATATGAAATCCTCATAGCCAACACACTAACATAATTGACACGGTTGAAAATTAACTCTTGTCTCTAAAGCTGCACCATAAAGCTAATAAACTTAGAGAGGCTGTCATTTCCAAACGAATGGCCCTTTTTTCAGTCCGGTTTGCAGCAATGTGTTGTTCTATGAAAAGACCTTCAAAATAGTGATGTGCGTATCGATACAAGGACCGTAAAATATCGATATTTTGTATCGATACGTGGGAGTGTATCGATATTTTGTATCGATACGTGGGAGTGTATCGATATGCCTGTATCGATACACCTATAGCCAATATCGTATCGAATATCGTATTGTTTATTTATTAATATAAATCTTATTTTTATGGTAAGAAATTTGTCTTCCCATCTTCCTCCCCTCAAAAGTAGTAGTGGAAATTTTATATTTTACCCTAGCATCTTCAAAAACACTGATAAAACATGTATTTTCAGCTATGTTTTGCAAATAACCTCAAAACTAGGGCCACCATTAATGGAAGTGGGGACCCTCATTGTCCATATTATACTATTTAATGTGTAAGTGGCATACCCACCATCATTATTAGTACTTTTTGGTTCAACTAATTATCCCTGTGTAAAAACTAGGAAAACAATAACAAAATATTTTCGTTTTCCAATTTGAGGGTTTACCGGAATTTGGAGGTTATGTATGTATGTTTGATACAAATAAAAAGACACAGGAAGGTCTTATAATATAATAAGTTATTAATAACCTATTATAACCCTCTTTACAAGCTTGTAAGTAACATAGTATTTGTCTATGCAGCTTGTATATTTGAGATATTTAATTTTTTTTAAAATTATAAATAAACAATACGATGCGATATTTTATCCGCTATAGATAAAAATCGATACATGAGGATACGATACGATACACGTATCGATACACCACGTCCCGATAAGTATCGATACGCAGTATCGATACATTGACCCGTATCGCCCATCACTACTTCAAAATGAGGTATAATTCGACCTATGCTTACATTAAAATTTGTTTACTTCCTCTGCAAGATGTCCCCCCTCTGCAAGACGTCGTCCCCTCTGCAAAGCGTAAAGACAGTTAAAATGACCAAAACGTCAGTAACTACAGTGAGGACGTAATCCTATAGTTTCATTGCTCAGTGTTCATTAATAAAATAAATAAAGGGGTTTCCTGACTTGTTTGAACACCAATATCAATAGACGCTTTACATGGTCGCCATTTTGCAACGGGTGAACCTTTTGAGATGTGGTTTCCGGCATTGAACTCCATTTATCCAGTCCTTTAAAATGATGTGCATATCAAATCAGCCTATGCTTACGTTAAAGATTTTGTACTTACTCCTCATGGGCTGTCCCCCAGTGGAGGTAAAAAATGGTAATGCTTGCAAAAATTTGTGTTTAGTTTATACACTTATGTTGTTGTGCAAAGTTTTACTTTTGCGTTATGTCATAATTTTCTAACCAATTCGGTTAAAAAGAGATTAAGAGGTGTCCATACTTTTTGAACACCCGGTTTAGATTCTAATAGATTAAATTTGAATCACCATATCTGCAATTCAATGAGCGCAATGTTTTATTGAAATCATTGGTTAAGTTAAAAATGTCATGAAAGATAGTATTTTCTGGCCTTTACCTATGATGGGAGTTTGTAGCCCTTTAATTTACACCACAAATTTCAAGCTCTTTCCATCGTCAAATTTATGTAGTTATGTAGGGTTCTGAAATCCTCTGGTTCCAGGCTTGCCCCTTACGTATAAGTAATGGTTTCTGGGCATTTCATCCAATTCTTTGCATATTCCTCATTTATCTCAAGGCGCGTCTACACATGCCCCAGTTGCTGAGTGTCGAGGTTTCCCGCTCTTTGTCAATATTTTCCACAAAGCAGGGGTGCCCAGAGGGGGGGGGGATTTGGCGTGTTTGCGCTACGGGAATTTTTTTGGGGGGGGGGGGGAGAACAATTTTTCTGCTAGCTCATATAATATAGCCTAAAATTTTGTACAACCAATAAACCAACGTGAAAAAGTGTTTGTAACTAGTTTACTTTGAACACTAGCAACGGTATGACGTCAGCCATTGTCTCCTTATCACTGCCGGCTCGCATTCATTCCTTCTCTCTTCCTCCCCCATCCAGTATTTTGATTGCGGTGTTATAAATGGAATTCGATTGGAATGAGAGTTTGTCATTTAAAACATTTTGACCATCTGTTTTGACTGCCTTGTATATTTCAAATTCTTCATAAGTGTTAATGGTTGATCGGTCTTGGGAAAGATGTAAAACGTCCATATTACTATTTATGTTTACATAGTTGTGGTTGAGTGAAATTAAATGCTCTGCGAAATTTGAAGTTTGTGGGCCTGTAGTTTTCTTGGGGATATGTTCTCTGAACCTCTTCTTGAAAGAGCGTGAAGTCTGTCCGATGTAATATTTTGGGCAATCGCTACAGTTTAATTTGTAAACCCCAGACTTGTCATAAACAGTGGAATTCGTTTGTTGCCGCTCTTTCAATAAGGATCCGAGCTTGTTTGTAGTTTTAAATGAAACTGTTATATTATTTCTGGTCATGACATTTTTAAAAGTGTGGCTTAATGACAAACCATACTTAGCAGAGATATAATGTTTCTGATTAGGGGCTTTAGAGGTTTTATTTGAGTGTTTGTAAATTAAATTGTCTATTAAACTGCTGTTAAAACCATTTGCAACCGCTATGTATTTTATTATGTTGACTTCTTCTTTATAGTCATCATCATTCATTGGTATTGAGAGCAACCTGTGAACAAAACTGTTGTATGCGGCAATCTTATGTGAATGTGGGTGGTGTGAATCTGCATTGATAGTCTGGTCGGTACAAGTTGGTTTTCTATAGACTTTGAATGAGAATTGGTCGTTTTTCTTGGTTATTGTTAAATCCAAAAAGTTTAATGAGTTGTTTTTCTCTTCTTCAAGCGTGAATTCGATTTTTTTATGCATATTGCATAAATATTTGCATAACAAAGATAACTGTCTGCTGTTGCCATTGAAAAGAACGATAGTGACGTCAACATATCTATAATAAAATGTTATTTTCTCTCGAAAGCGGTTGGTATCAGAAAATAGATGTTCATTTTCGATATGGTTCAAAAATATTTCTGATAATATACTGGAGAGGGGTGAACCCATTGCTAGGCCATCTTTTTGGACATAGAAGTCATTTTGGAATCTGAAATAGTTTTGTTTTAATACAATTCTTGTGAGGTTAATGAGTTCATCTATTGCGTTTTTAGAAAGTTTTGAGTTTCCAAAGATGGCTATTGTTTCTTGAACTGGTACGTTGGTGTAAAGGTTAACTATGTCAAATGAAACTAATTTTTGGTTTCCTTTTATTACGTGATTTTTTAGCTGTTCGACTAATTCAATGCTGTTTTTTATACTATGGCTGTTTTCTAATACTATTTCCTTCCTAATAACTTTGTCCAACATTTTTGCTATTTTATAAGCAGGGGAAGGCATGAAATTGACGAGGGGCCTAATTGGTATATCAGGTTTATGAATCTTGGGTAAACCTCTAAGAATGGGTGCTTGGGGATTTGTTACCTTCAATACATGAATTTCATTTTGTGTAAGTAAATATTTACTTGAAGAGATAGCTCTATTTATTTCTTTGGCGTTGTCAGGGGTTGGATCTTTATTTAAATGTATTATATTAT